TAAGCAATCACAAACTATTCTTTTAAGACATGATTAAGAGTTTCAGCATTGGCCGTTCCCCTAATGAAGGTGGATACTGATGGCTTCACTGTCCTTGTCTCTCCCTCCCACAACTTGTCTGCGGGAAGGGATGTTAGGAGTAACCTTACAAGTTGCATGAAGAAGGTCATAACATCTGCAACAGCACAGGTGGTGCCTCCTTTCAAGTAAGGTACATTACGTGGCTTCCATGCCTAGGAGGTATGGAAATCTTACGCAAATGCTTACCTACTGCTTTGCACACTCCAGTAGCAAGATCCATCTGATAACCACGACTACATTCACACTTGTAGCCACCTTTCAGGTTGATACAAATTTGACTACAAATACCAGGGTTTTGGCATTCATCAATATCTGCAAAGACAACATAACTCATTTGCTTTCATCCAACACCATTCATTGGTGGGGTCCAGGTCAACATAGCTGATACTTGCCTCCACACGTTCTCCTATCTATGAGTTCAAAACCAGCAGGGCAGTCACATTCATAACCTACAACAAGGTCTCTGCAGATATGAGAACATCCACCGTTGTTCACAAGACATTCATTTATGTCTGGAAGAGGAGAATTGGCTTTTCCTTAGATAGCAAACACATTTACATTTAGTCTTTAAAAGTCTTACTCATGGAATGCTTTACTACATACTCATATCCTCAAATTAAATCTGTCACAAGTGCTAAACCCTATTGGCACTTGAAGCCATGCGCAAAAGGTCCACCTTGACCAAAAGGTCAAGGTCCACTTTTGCTCAGCCATCGTCATGTTGCTTGCGGTCTGCAGCTACCAACTTGTTACACAGCTGAAGCTCCTGGAAGCTTCAGCAGAGTTTTAGTTCTTTTTGAAGGGCTTTGTAGCCATTGAAAAGTTATTCTAGTAGCCTGATGGGCTAGAGTGAAGCTACCCTACTGAGGGGATTGCTTTTGGCTGCTTTCTTGTCACTAAGATAGTGCAGATAGGCATCCCACAGTCTGAGAGCCAGAAATTCAAAGAAGTATCACAGTGTAGCTTTCAGTCAATGTGGTGCAATGAGTATGTTCACTTACTACACTCCTCGAGGGGTTCATCACTCCAGTCCTTGCAGTCCCTTTGCTGGTTACACACCTTACTGATGTCTATGCATTCTCCACTTCTGCACTTGAATTTGCCAGGTCCAGAGCACTGAATGCCTGCTATAACGGAAAGA